ATCCTCAGATGCAAAGCTCCTCAGTCAGCTCCAGCAACTTTCAGCAAAGTAGGTCCCCCAGCTATCCCAGCTGGAACCTTGATCACTGCCATGTCATGTTGGAAAAGTGCACGACGACTAAAGATAATGAGTGATGGGAGCAACTTCTCTTTTGATATAGAGCAGTGAATTCATGATACCATCAATGAAATTCAGCTCCCCGACACCAGCAGCACTCATGCAGCCCTACAGAAGGACACTGCCACCATCATGTTTCAATGTAGGCACCGTGCATTTTTCTTTGTACTTCTCACCTTTGTGACGTCATACAGTTTTGAAGCCATCAGTTCCAAAAACATTTATCTTGGTCTCATCACTCCAGAGTACAGAGTCCTACTAGTCTTCTTCTTTTTCAGCATGGGCCCTGGCAAATTCTAGGTGGGCTTTTTTGTGCATGGGCTTTAGGATTGGCTTCCTTTGCAGACAACACTTATGCATGCCGTTCCTCTGCAGTGTACGCTGTATTGTGTCACAGGAAACAATTACCCCAGTTTGGCATTTTACTTCTTTAGCTAACTGCAGTGAACTTGCATGGAGATTTTCTTCAACTCTTCTCATCAGAAGATGCTCCTCTTGAGGTGTTAACTTCCATGGATGGCCTGGACGTCTCTGTGAGATGGTTGCATTTCCATCTTTGTTAAATTTTTGTATCACTCTTGCTACAGTATTCTGACTGATAAGTAAAGCTTTTCTGATCTTCTTGTAGCCTTCACCTTTCTTGTGTAAAAAAATTATTTTCTTTCTCAGGCCTTGTGATATTTCTCTTCCATGTAGTGCCATTACTAACAGCATGACATGGGAAGGGGTTTTCTTTGTTAAGTAATGTTCTTTTATAATCAAATGTCTGCTGGACACCTGTTTAATGAATAATTAGACTGTAGTTGTATTCGTGTTATGTAGTTGAATTCGTGTTAATTTAGGATTTTGCTATCAAAAATTTAGCTTTGCTCCTAAGACTTTCATTGGAGTGTGTTCATTTTTAGAACAAGTCTTGAATACATTTGTTAAGAAAAATACTTTTTTGTGTGTGCAAATTAACAAATCTTGTTTGCAATGAATGTCCCATTTGTGGGAGTATTTTGTAGTATAGTGTCCCATAGAAAATGTTGATGCTGAAAGGAAAGTAAAGGTTTTCTGGCAAATCTGTTGGGGTGTACTCATTTATGCCGAGCTCTGTGTGTGTGTGTGTGTGTGTGTGTGTGTATATATATATATATAAATATACATACACAATCAGTCATTTCTACAGGTCTCCTTCCCGTCTGCATTGACTGCCTTCTGAAAGGAGAAGCAGAAGACTGATGAGCTCATCTCTCTGTCCTCCTATCAGCATGCTCCTTGAGCTAGCAGTGCAAAACAAATTGACTCCCTGCACTGCTTCTCCCTTCTGCGCAGAGTTCTGCTTTCTGCAAGTGGCTGAAACCAAATCATATTTAGGTACATTTACTACTTGCATTAATTAAATATATATAATAATGATATATGAATAAATAAGTTGCCTTCATCTGTCTCATTGATATTTTCCTAGAGTCCAGGTTTAAAGTATTCCTAAATTGAGAGTTGTTTCAAATCTGTATAGACAGGTTATAAATGTTAATACCTATTTTGTTACAGCATACTGTTTCTCGGAGCAATAATTCATGATTTGTTTTCAGATTTCTGGTTTGGTGTGGGGGATGAGTGAAATACACTAGAAAACTGGGCAATGGGGCATGTGTATTTACTACTCAATTATTTGCTTTGCATGTTTGGTGACAAAATACATTTAGGGTAAGTAAAGCTGTGATCTGTAATTACACATACGAAATAATTTGCCTAGGCATTATAAATTTACAGTACTTGGTGAGGGAAATCAGTTGGGCAAGAGAAGAAGGAACCTTCCTGCAGCTTTTTATTATTGTCCAAAAATCGGTTGGGATTACAAACACTTGTAGCCTCCCAGCCTGGAAAACACCTGGCAAGGTTAATAAATCATTATTAGACAGCATCAAAATGAACGTAAATTCAGTTGCAATAAACTTTATTGCAGGTGTGTGTAAAGTTAAATTGGATTGATTTTTAAAAAAATGAGTGCGCCTTGAAAAATCACTCCTTTTTTAAAAGGCAACTACGTGTTTATAGGTGTTTAGTGTGTACACAGCTTCAGAGTTGGTACTCTAACATGTAACAATAAAAATCATTTTTAATTAAACTCATGCATGTTTATATGTTTAATGCTCTATAACTGTATATCTTGTGCAGATTTATTGTGGCAGTCTGTATATCAGCAAGTGCAGTCACCTTGTAATGTACATGAAAATGCACTAGTATATAATAGGAAGGTGGTTGTGAATAGAGCAGGCTCCGAAAACGGACACACAATATTACAAAGACTATTACACCTCATATACTGGAACATGTACAAGCAGTTCAATAGTTGCAAGTTTTTATGTTGCACGATATAAGCGCAACAATTTAACAAATCTAAATTTTAGTATAAAATACATTAAAATTAATTTTAGTGTGGACAAGAGCAATAAAATATCCAAAATTTCTGAATGTGGTGTAAATTCTACAGGTGAAACTCGAAAAATTAGAATATCATGCAAAAGTTCATTTATTTCAGTAATGCAACTTAAAAGGTGAAACTAATATATGAGATAGACTCATTACATGCAAAGCAAGATAGTTCAAGCTGTGATTTGTCATAATTGTGATGATTATGGCTTACAACTCATGAAAACCCCAAATCCACAAATCTCAGAAAATTAGAATATTGTGAAAAGGTGCGATATTCTAGGCTCAAAGTGTCCCACTCTAATCAGCTAATTAAGGTATAACACCTGCAAAGGGTTCCTGAGCCTTTAAATGGTCTCTCAGTCTGGTTTAGTAGGAATCACAATCATGGGAAAGACTGCTGACCTGACAGTTGTGCAGAAAGCCATCACTGACACCCTCCATAAGGAGGGAAAGCCTCAAAAGGTAATTGCAAAAGAAGTTGGATGTTCCCAAAGTGCTGTATCAAAGCACATTAATAGAAAGTTATGTGGAAGGGAAAAGTGTGGAAGAAAAAGGTGCACAAGCAGGAATGACCGCAGCCTGGAGAGGATTGTCAGGAAAAGGCCATTCAAAAGTGTTGGGGACTTTCACAAGGAGTGAACTGAGGCTGGAGTCAGTGCATCAAGAGCCACCACACACAGACGGATCCTGGACATGGGCTTCAAATGTCGTATTCTCTCTTGTCAAGCCGCTCCTGAACAACAAACAACGTCAGAAGTGTCTTACCTAGGCTAAAGAAAAACAGACCTGGTCTGTTACTCAGTGGCCCAATGTCCTCTTTTTTGATGAGAGCAACTCTTGCATCTCATTTGGAAACCAAGGACCCAGAGTATGGAGGAAGAATGGAGAGGCACACACTTCAAGATGCTTGAAGTCCAGTGTGAAGTTTCCACAGTCTGTGTTGATTTGGGGAGCCTTGTCATCTGCTGGTGTTGGTCCACTGTGCTTCATTAAGTCCAGGGTCAATGCAGCCGTCTACCAGGAGATTTTGGAGAACGTCATGCTTCCTTCCACAGACGAGCTTTGTGGGGATGCTGACTTCATTTTCCAGCAGGACTTGGCACCTGCCCACACTGCCAAAAGCAGCAAAACCTGGTTCAATGACCATGGGATTACTGTGCTTGATTGGTCAGCAAACTCGCCTGACCTGAACCCCATAGAGAATCTATGGGGCATTGCCAAGAGAAAGATGAGAGACATGAGACCGAACAATGCAGAAGAGCTGATGGCCGCTATTGAAGCATCCTGGTCTTCCATAACACCTCAGCAGTGCCACAGGCTGATAGCTTCCATGCCACGCTGCATTGAGGCAGTAATTGCTGCAAAAGGGGCCCAAACCAAGTACTGAGTACATATGCATGCTTATACTTTTCAGAGGTCCGATATTGTTCTATGTACAATCCTTGTTTTATTGATTGCATGTAATATTCTAATTTTCTGAGATTGTGGATTTGGGGTTTTCATGAGCTGTAAGCTATAAGCATCACAATTATGACAAATCACGACTTGAACTATCTTGCTTTGCATGTAATGAGTCTCATATATTAGTTTCACCTTTTAAGTTGCATTACTGAAATAAATGAACTTTTGCATGATATTCTAATTTTTCGAGTTTCACCTGTATATGGTTATGCCTTGCTAAAAAAAATGATGAGTAAAGAAAATGACAAGTGACTGTGTCAAGTAAATAAATGTAATTAAGATATCAGGATGTAAAATTGCATGCAGCCATGAAATTGCCACAAAACATAAATACTCCAAAATGTTCCGTAGACAATGTTTTAAAACCTTACTAACTCATCAGTTTAGAATTGCCTGTAAATAATGGCCCTAGTATTATTCATTTCATCTTGATGTGTGGGGTAATACCTAATATGTGTTGTATACAGGGGCGGACTTACAACTCATGGGGCCCCCGGGCAATAGGGGATCATGGGGCCCTTGTGTCCTTGCCCACACCCAAAAAAGCCTATGAAAAAGCCAATGAAAGGTACCAGGGGCATTTCATGGGACCCCCTATTGACCTCGGGCTCTCGGGCAGTGCCTGAGTGCTCAAATGGTCAGTACGCCCCTGGTTGTATAAGAACTGTTTATGTGTTTGCATACTCTACGTCTGAGTTTGCATTTGTATGTTGAGGGACTTTTTTTTTTTAAAAATTTGCTTTATTGAATACATTTAACACTTTTGGGGTGTGAGGGAAATTGGTTGCTCCAGTATTCCTAAGGCATAGAATTGATCATTCGGCTTTACAGTAATTCAGGACACCTCTATTATAGAGACCAAAGTTAGTTCTATCTCTCTGCACCCCTGGGGGACAACTACTGTGATGCCAGCTCTGGCCATGCCCCCTCCCTCTTCATGTTTCTCCTTTTTTTCTCTCTCTACTACTCCTCCATTTTTATTCTCCCTATGCCATTTCTTCCCTCTAACTCCTTCACACCTGCATAACACAAATATGCGGCCCAACAGAACTGGGCTTTTTTCTGTGTTTTAGGTAAAACAACCCCAAAAACCAAAATGCACACTATTGTTTCTGGGCTGTACTGTGGGTACAAACAACAAATATCATACACATATATGGTATTGCTGCGATTGTCAAGAGCTGGAAAATTTATTTTGGGTTGTTCTTTGGTGGTAGGTTATGGTAGTAACAAGAAACACACAGCTAAATTAAACTTTTTTTTTTTTTTTTACTATTTTGGACCAATTTTCCTTTGATAATAAAAAAAAAATTAAGAGATATCCATTACCATTTACCACCAAATGAAATCCCAATTTGTCCTGAAAAAAACAAGGTATAATTTACCTGGATGTACAAAGTAGTTGTGATGATATGTACGGTTTTACTAACACAGGTCAAAGTGGCAAAATTGTGCTTAGTCGTTAAGATTTTTTTAACCCGTAGGTATGAAGAGGTTAAGAACCCATCCATCCTCCTCTCTCCTTCTTACCTGTACCTGCCCCCCCATCCCTCCTACATGATAACCCCCCCTCCTTTAGGCCTCATGCACACTGGGCATTTTTAACATTCAGTGTGAACAAGGCCTTACTTAGCATTTTCCACTTGCATGCTGTCCCTCTTCCCATCAACAATTTACCAAGAAAGTAACAATTTCACAAAACATGTCAGTTTATAAAGTGTCTGTTCTCAGTTATACAGAGAATGGACACTCTTAAAAGTCCCAGTTGACTTGTCCATATGCTTTTCCGGCACAAGAAAACATTCTAGATACTTGCTGTGTTCCTTCTGGGTTTATGTACAGTACATCTTTTATTTTGTATACATCTTCATTGTTACATGAAATCGCTCTATTCTGGAGAATACTCTGATTGTATTGTGGAAATAAAATAAATAATTTAAAAGATACTTTCTTTTCTGAAAGCTGAACTCCGGCCTTGCTTTCAGCCTTGCAGAGACTCCTCTGCTATACTGAAATTGCTTACTTTAATGTATAATGTGAGCTCTTCATAGTGTGCATTAGAAGCTGCAGCAAGTCTGATAAAGCCCACCTTGTTTTCTGGCTGGAGCATGTCTAGCATCGTCTAGCATTTCCTCCCCAGCCAATCTGTCCCCTGGCCTGCCCCTTTGATTAATTGGATTTCAGTTATTTTAGTCATGGAGGTTCAGCATCACATGTGAGCGTTACCCAGAGTTGTCTGAATGCAAATGTATTTTTGTACACCAAGAACTGAGCAATCAAAGACTGCTGATTGCTCACTTCTTGGGCTTCAGTGAGCAGAGAGCAGGTGACTGTCAGTCACCAGCTCTCTGCTCTGCCTCCCCCAGCACCCACTGGAGCACCAGGCTGTGGAGGTGGCAGGAGCAGCTGGCTCAGCCTCCCAATGGCATGCTGCAAAACTGAGCCAGCTGCAAGTCCAGGCAACTGGGTGAATCCGGGCATTAAAATCAGGTTCTATCCAGAGGCTGGTCTGGATGAGGGACATCAGCTGATAGTGAACTTTAGCCCTCTGTCGGCTGAATCTGAGTCACAGGAGTGCAGAATGAAGTACACACTTTTGACCTACAGGAGAAGTTTGGCCAAAAGAGCTTTGGCCCTAATTCTCCTTCAATGCCTGTATAACTTTCAGGAGACAGCCCACTGTTAGCAGAGCTGAGAAGCACAAAGACCCAAGGATGATTTCACTAAAAACAGTATTTAATGAAAATAGAGAGGCTTAAAATGGTTCTAAAGGCTCAAGGTTTTTTTTACCTTCATGCATTCCATGCATTAAGGTAAAAAACCTTCAGTGTCTTCAGAGTCTTGACTATCTCAGAGACTCCCTCTTCTCATTGGCTGAGACAGCAGTGGGAGCCATTGGCCAGCTATCACAGCCAGCAAGCCAATGAAAAGAGAGAGGGGGTGGGGCTGAGCCGCAGCTCTGTGTGTAATGGACACACAGAGTAGCGGGTACCCTCAAAGCAAGCTGCTTTCTGTGGGGGCATCCAACAGGAGGGAGGGGCCAGGAGAGCCTGCAGGGGACCAAAGAAGAGGAGGATCCAGGTGGCTCTGTGCAAAACTACTGCACACAGCAGGTAAATATAGACATGTTTGCTATTTTGTCTTAAAAAAAATAAGCCTTTAGAATCATTTTAATTCTAAGTCAAATATTTAATTAGCTTGTTAATGGAGGAGCCAGGCAAAGTAAAAGATAAGTAGAATAAACTTTAGCTTTAAAGAGGACCTTGAACTCCAAGAAAGATATACTTATTTAGTGCGCCTCCCTGCAGACCGTGCCTCACACCAATTACACCAATAACCTCAACCAAAAAAAAAAAACCCCTGTTGAAGTTAGTTAATATTAAGAAATTAGTTATTATTATGTGCAGTAGCATCTTCTCTTGAGATTTGGACTACTTGATATTTGCCAGGATTTCTTCAGGGAGTAATGTCACTTTTGCCTAGTTCTTGCTTTGAGATGAGAGGGGTGGGTCAAGCTGAATGAACGAACCTTGCAATCTAATTGCTTCAAGCACTCGATCTACGATAAGGCAGCAACCAACTAAAATCAACCAAAACCTAACTTTTACTGATCTAGTATGGTAAATTCTAATGGTTGCTATGGGTTACTGCACTGAAATACTTACATTTAAAAATCATAGCCCTTCATTGAATAGCACCAAAAGTGCTTCCTACTGGTGTGTCAAATATACCATTGAAAGTATCTTAGTAAATATTTTTGATAAATCCACATAAATCCCAGGTGATTCTGAAAGAAATACAATGCTGTCCTGAGCCTGTGCACCCTGCATTATCTGCATCTCTTATTAGCCCTTCTCAGTTCAGCTCTATAGACTGCATAACACCTGCCCCATATGTTATAAGGATGAGGAAGTGCGCTGTAGTTCTAAAATACTTCCTGTCCTTGGGTAACCCAGCTGCTCTTCCATTTTCTACAATGAGTGAATGTTGTTACCCTTTGACAGGGACTTGGCAGGATAAAAATAAAGGATACTTATCCTGAAAAAATGAATGCATCCACCACATCTAAGGACTTGTAAACTGCAATATATTTCAATATATTTGTTCTTGAATTTAGAGTGATGACCAACTTATCACAAGATGACAGATTACACTGCCAAAGTGCCAAACTTCAGGGCAGCACTGCCAACATCCATGTGACCATAAGGCATACATTTCCAAAAAATGACAGCCCTACAAACTGCTTGGCACAATAAAATTATGAAAAAGAGGCGGGGGCGCATGCGCGGCCAGGATCGATGGCGGCCGCACTTTAAGTGAGCTCCGCTCATCATCCCTGGCCAGTAAAGACTCACCCGACAGCCGCTTCCACTCCTCTTCAGCTGTGGGTGAGTCCTACGTACCCCGCACCCGGCCCGGCACTTGAGGGGACTTGATGGGGAAGATAGGGCGCTGGAGGCCCCCCTCCCCGCAGTCACGTGACCCGCGGCCGTCGCCCGCTCCGGCGGTTCCTCTCCAGGCCGCAATCCCCGGCCTCTAGTATGGCTGGGAGCCCAGGAAGGGATCGCGGCCCCCCGGTGGTCGCAGAGGGTACTGCACCCACAGATGTTCCAGCCCTCTGCCCTGACACAATCACTGCTGGAGGACTATGAGCCCCAGCATGCTACTGGGGGGGTTGCGGAGCAGTCTGCATCAGGGAAGCATCCTCCCTCCATCCAGGCACCTCAGCAGGCCACCTCATCAGCTTCCCTCACATTGTCGGCGTTGGATGATAAGTTACAAAATTTTTTGCGCAACATTACTGCGTCCATATCCACGGAGGTGGGAAAGCTGGCCTTGGAGCTTAGAGGGGAAATTGCCCAGATTGGAGACCGCACGGACAGATTGGAAAACGAGTTTGATAATTTGGTACAATACGTCCACGTACTGGAAGAAGATAACGCCTACTTGAAGCACTCCATGTCCCAAATGCAGCTCCAGCAAGAGGACCTGGAAAACAGGGAACGGCGCCAAAATATCCGTATTCGCGGTATGTCCGAGTCTATTGCAGATGCACAGCTGCACCGTCATCTTCTGTCCTTCTTTACTGCCACTGCCCCCTTAGTTCCAGTAGCAGATTGGCGTATGGATAGGGCTCACCGCTCCTTGGGCCCAAAACCTGCTGAAGGCACCAGATCTCGCGACGTTATTGTTCGCTTTCATTTTTTTCCAAAGCAAAGAAGCTCTACTTTCTGCTGTTCGTCATAAATCATCGCTGGATTTTGAGGGTGACAGACTCCAACTCTTCTGCGACCTGTCCCCGATTACGCTGGCTAAGCGACGAGACCTGAAGCCGATTACCATGCACCTTCAACAACACCATGTCCCTTACCGTTGGGGGTTTCCCTTTCGGTTGGTCGTAAATAGGGACAATACCCAAGTTGTGCTCCGTGATCTTCATGAGGCGGACTCCTTCCTAAAACGCCTGGGACTTCCGCCTCTGTCAGAGGATGGGTCCTCTCTGCCACCAACTCCGTCTCGTCCGTCCGCCACCCCCAGCGGGATTTGGACCCCGGTTCGCAGAGGTCGGAAGAGACCTTCACGTACCCCACAACGTCCGCGCCATCCTCGGTCAACTGATCCACCTGCTTGACGAATCTCTGGGGCTACCTTCTGGATCTGGTGATGAACCTTTTCCTCCTGGGTTTTTGGTTCTCTCTTGCACTTTTTTATTTTTTTTTTTTTTTTTTTTTCTTCTCTACATAATTTTCCCACGGGTTTCCCTTATCTGTCCGGCCAAATTGTGTTGGGTGCTTTTTTCATTTTTGATTACTTTTTCTTTGCTGGCCGGGTTTGACGTCCTCTCCGATGTTCTGGTTGTCGTGCTGCTCCCGATTTTGTCTAGCCATAGGCCTAGACGACTTGGGTCACATTGTTGCTCCCGAGTTTATATCCTTGCGGATACTTATTTCTCTGTTTTTTGTTCTTTACACTATTGCCTTGCAAAGTATTGTGTTCAACTGTTTGATGTTTTTTTTGTTTTTTACTGTATTACATCGATGGTATTCCATTCATTTTTCATGCTATTACATGTAAAACCGTTGTCGTTATTTTATAATGGCTTTGCGGTTTCTGTCATATAACGTCAAGGGCCTCAACTCCATTCAAAAACGGTGGATGGCTTTGAAGGAATTCCGATCCTCAGGAGCAGACATTATTTTTGTCCAAGAGACCCATTTCAAATCGACTGGCTCTTTCCGTTTTGCCTCGAGATTTTTTTCCCAAGCGTACTCGGCCTTTGATCCCTCTGGGAAGGCCGGGGTGGCAATCCTTATTGGGTCACACTGCTCCCTTCGGGTTGTTTCCTCCAAAGTTGACCGTCAGGGTCGTTATATTATTTTAGAGTGTATGCTTGGCGAGACTCCCCTTGTTCTGTTGAATTTATATGCTCCCAATACAGGTCAACTGCAATTCCTGTCCCAAA